AAAAAATCTGTCAATTGTGAAATGCGTACGATTCCGAGGTTCATTCCTTTATCTAACAAACCCAGTGAAATAATATCTTTTTCAAGCAGCCAATATTTAATGAGAATTCAACCATGGACAATGTCATGGGACCAAAATTGAAGGAGTTGAATATTCAGACATTTGCTAGCTTCCTGGATTGTTAAAAGATAGCATCACGGAACATATCTATTACTTTTCTAATTTCATGTTTCATTGCATTAGACGAATAACATCTAAACACGTGTACAAATATGACATTATTAAAATAGATTGAGAATTCTAATAAATGGGAGTGAAAATTAATTTTTCCATATAAAGTGAATCTTGATCGGAATTCAGAACAATGATACATACACCTGATCATTTCAGACATGAAATTTCCAGCTGTATAGGTACATGTGACTCAATAAAAAAATAGGGAAGTACTTCAAATGTCAACCTCGTGTTATTTTCAGTTTCGCGTACAAGGAACCAAACAGCGCAATAAGAAAAATCAAGGAAACCAANAGTCAGCCAAGATGGGTCGATCGAGATGACATTGCGCATGTATTGACGGTCAGTGGAGACGATTGAGTGGAATATGACCCATTTTGGATTTACTCTGCAATATGAGTTTTTACAAAATCAGATTTACTTATTTACATGTGCATTCTTTATAAAAACATGAATTCCGTATGGATCTTCATATTTTGCGTTGTGGGTTTATGTGCTCTATGGTGGTATTATCTCTTAAATTAGTAAAAAAGAAAAAAAGAAAAAAAAAACTATCAAGAAATAAAAAATCTGAACTAACCTGAATAGCACGGAAGAAGGATGGATATATACTTCTTGGGAGCTTCGTATGGTCTTGTATAGCCCGTTATGACTGAATGCCTTTTAAGATACAAGATAACAGCAGATAATGATCAAATTAAACCTGCCAAAATTAATCTAATATATAATTGCAGAAAAAATACTTACATCTAAACGGCAAGCATTAGCGAAAAATCCAGCAGTGATTGCCTTCCTAACTACCTGAGTAAATAACAAAAAAAAAAGATAAAAACAAATATGATGGTGATCAGGTATATAATTCCATAATCATTATTTCTACATTTTGATATATTAGTTCTGGTTTCCAAAGGCATAGTTTTACTTTACCTGCATATCACCTTCACAAGATTTCAGGGCTATTCCTAAACGTTGAACAATCCTTCTCAGCTGTTTTCGGATTTCATCAACTTTTTTCTGAAGGGGGACCAAATGAATTTCTTTAAAAAAAAACTAAAAAATGAATATTAAGAACTGTGTGTCTAAGATAACTCACCATGGCATGGTAGTTTACATGATTTTTGTGACACCAGTTTGAAGATTTACCAGACTCGATAAATCCTTTATACACATTCAAGAAAGTCACATGATCCCCCTGCAAACAGCAAAAATGTTCTGTGTTAATATTAATTGCTAGTTAGATAGTAACTTAAAAAAACTCTGACTAAGGTACATAAAAATACTGTTTCAATTTGAAACAAAAAAATACCTCAGAGGCGGCAAATCTCAACTTAGCTTCATCCAATTCCATTTGAGCTCCTCTATCAGAGAACCATATCGACTGCACAAACGTCAAAAAATAATGGTATTTACTGAGGTACTGCTTCAAATAACTAACAATGTCACATATTATTGATGAAATTCAGAATACTTAACGATCCAAATAAAATAGCACGAGAGATATTAACCTGTATAGACAGCACGGCAGCGATTGTGATGATTTCCTCAGAACAGCCATAGTCATTTGCAGCTAAAATCATTTTGGAAATCATTGGTTCCTACAAAAGAGTAGAGCAACTTAGAAATGAAATAAAGGTCACAAATTGGGCTAAATTTTGTTCTTACGAATCCTCACTCAGTATTAGCAACTGCACGATACACCGGGAAATTTTCTTTTTGGTCACCCATTTGAGCTATAAACATTTTTTTTCTTACTCCTATCAAAATATTATTCTCTCGTGGAAATTTCATTAGAAAAGATATAAAAATGAGCTGTGAAAAATTGACATACTAAAGGAATTTCTGCAATTTGGAATCCAGCAGGAGATGTGAGTTTTGCATCATCATCGATTACTCCAAGTGAGTAAAACACTTCGAGTGCTCTGATTAGTGCTTCAGGAGAAGATGATGCTGGCCAGTCGAACCCCAAAATGTTGTCTATCCCTAGAGCTTTTAACTATCAGAAGAAATACAAATAGTCACACCTTAAAATATCCCAAGGAAGAAGCTAAAGGTTCAAATTAAGGTCACGGAAATACTACAAATGTAACTCCATGGAGATAAAATTTCAGTGAAAATAATACGTAGTCAAATTAATTTACAAATAACAAATACCTGAATCACACAGGAAACAAGATTTGATCTTTGCATCTCTGGTACACCATCAGGAGACATCTCGTTCATAAAATATTCTTCTGTATAAAGCCTATATATGGTGAAAAATAGAATATTCTCATTAGTTATTGTACTGTAGTTTCCACTACTTCTTGAGTTGTGTCACAGAAGAAAGTCTTTTCTTACAGTGACTGAAGAATTCTTATCTAGACTATTTAAACTCTTATACATGTCTCAAGTTATTCGATTTATCAAGAGTAATCATATGGTTAGAGTAATCTTTCATGCATGAGAAGAGAAGTTAGAAAGTCAAAATATTTTGATTAATCAAGCACCTGTAACACTTTCCTGGCCGCACTCTTCCGGCCCTACCAGCCCTTTGTCGGGCTGAAGCCTTAGATATTGGAGCCACAACTAAATTTTCAATATCCGTCACCTGTTGTAAATTGACATATAGCTTCAACTTTGACATAGAAGAATTATAAGCTTTTCTATTCATCAAGAGAAGTTCTTATTTAAATCTGTCGACATACTCATCAGTTGAAGTAGTTTTCACTTTTAATGTGAGTATATTTAAAAGATCTTCATTCTGAAAAAGAAATGGATCAAAATATGCTAATTTTTTAAGATAAATGAATGACACTAATAAGATAATTGAGCCAAAGCAAAAGTATCAACTGTCTAAAGTTTTAC